CATATATGTATATATATATTTGTTGTTGTTATATGCTATTGAGTCACCAGTGACTCATAGCGACTCTATGCATCATAATTCTGAAGTCCATCCTACCCTGAGCCGTCTCACTATCTCCAACACACCTACCCTCATTACCCCAATTACTGTGTCAATCCATTTTATCCAAGGTCTTCTTCTGCGCTGTCTCTCCACCCTTCCAAGCATGATATTCTCCTCTAAGGACTGGTCCCTTCTGGCAACATACCCAAAGTATGTGAGACAAAGCTTGAAAATCCTTGGTTTCACTTTCTCTAGATCTGTTTGCGTTCTTTTTTTACCACAAAAAAAAAAATCTTTATTTTTATATTGGGGGAGTAGAAAAGAAATCAACCCCTATACTGGGCCCTATGTGGCAGTTTCTTGTTCCATAGGGTTAACGAAGACTTTGAGGAAATAAAAGTTGTTTGAAAAAATCCAGGTGTAGTTGCTTTGTACGTTGTGATGGACAGAAAGGGTCAATGAAGTGAAGTGTGAAGGCCCCTCACACCCTCCATCTTGCCTCAGACTATGGCCTGGAATCCTGGGGTGGAGAAAAGTACCACTCTCATTCTTGCCTCTTGGGATTGTTGACTGTCACGTAGTAGTAAAGAATGACAGGTAGGAAGAGCCACACGCCCAGCATATAGGTAAGGATGGCGAGCTGCATGTCCATGATCATCCTGACCCGCCTGGCTCTGCTCTGATGCTCACTGCAGACAATTCCAGGTAGGCAGGTGACTGGGGCCAGAAATCCCAGTTTGCTTTCTTGGCAGTCCAATATATCTTGGCATGTTCAATATTCTTCTCCAGCACCACAATTCAAAGGCATTGATTCTTCCTCAATCATCCTAAGTCATTGTTCAGCTCTCTGATTCAAAGCAAGTATTTGTGAAGATCACAGATCAGACGAATCTTGGTCTCTGACATCATTGCTCTTTAGCATTCTGGAGAGGCTCCTGACAGCAGATTTATCCAATACAATTTGTCTTTTGATTTTCTGACTTCTGTTGCCAAGAGTGTTGATTGTCCTGTTGTTCTTGTTAGTTCTCAGCCTGTGGAATGACTCCTCTTGTCTGTCCTGGCAGAGCTGAGATCACCTCTGAGGAAGTTGTAGGCAGGCAGCTGCCTGATGAATGACCCATCTTCTGTGAGGTGACCGAGGCTAGGCTGCATGTGACAGGACCTCAGGTCAGTGTTCAATGGCCACAGGTTAAGAACTGTTAAACTCACTAGAGCTGCACTTGAGATTTTTTTTTTTCCTTATTACTTTCTGTTGCTGCTTCTCTGCTATGAGTAGAACTGGTTTGACAAGTTTCACATTATGTTAAAAATGACAAAACTGTGACCAAAGGGTTTGTTTCATCCCTTTCCACACACTCTTTCCTGCCTCATAGATCTCAGCTTTCTCCTGATACTGTCTAAATTTTGTCTCACCCCCAGCTCTGGACCCAACCTGAGTGCTCTTCTAGATTTCGGGACAATGGCCAGGGTCACAGTCGCCAGGCCTGGGAGGCAAGAGCTGCGGTCCATGTCTGGAACGCTAAGGTGTTTCTGATTCACAGTAGGAATCCCTGGACCTTTGAGAACTGCAGCCAGTATCAAGCTAACCCCTCACCTGTGGGCGCAGGAGGGTGGCCAGGTGAGGAACAGTGACTGCTCAAGTGGCCTCAGCCCACCTGGAGCCAACCATGCTGGGGGGTCGGACATGTTGTTTTTGTTTTGTTTTGTTTTTAATGTCATCATCATAACATTATTTATTTAAAGGTAGTTATTTTGGTATTTAATTTTTTTTAAAGAGAAGACCCTTCTCCCTGTTTTCTAACGGAATGAAACAGCTCAGAATGGTGTATTTAGGCAATTTAAAAACATTTATTACTTACCTAAAGACCAAATACGATAAATGTGTTGTAAGCATCATGTGTAGAACCCGGTGTGGAACTGACATTGTCTCTGCAGACATGGGTGTTGAAGAAGAGACGGTGAGCCGTGGGGTTCGCGTGAACTGATCGGAGACTCTGAATGTGAGTGACATCCGCCTGGCTGTGCGCATGGGCAGTGGTGCTTGGAGCGGATGTCGGACGCCTGGGGTTGCCATTGTTACCTGTTGGCAAAGTTGGCAGTTTGCACACTGCTCTGGTGACCCTGTGTCCCGAGATTGGGCTATCCAGGGCTGTTAACCTCCCCAGGCAGGGGTGGACAGGACACCGCACAGCCCCTGGGCGCCGCTATCCAGGAAGTCGGGAGGACTCAGAGAATGGTGAGTCTGAGTTGGAGCCGGCCTTGTACAGGTTGTCTGTGAGAGAATCTCGAGTCATGGAAGGGTGGGGTGAGCTTTGCTCCAAGTTCAACATCCTTGCTGCAGCCAGTGGAGTCTGCCTAGCTCCACTGTGGGTTTGCAAGAGCCACATCCAAGGTCTCCAGCCCCAAGGTATTGTTTTGCATTTGAAGTTGAGTCCTCAGGATGCAGAGGATCCCTCTGGGACACCAGAAAGCAGCTGCTGGGTACTTGGCTTGTGCCAGTGCCCCACTCAGCTCTGGACCTAGGTGCCTGTGCTGGGAGCTCCCTGCTCTCCACTGGTTCCATTCTTCTCATTACTCAAGGCATCTTTGCTCTGATCCTTGCCAAACTCCTGAGCTCCCTCAGGAAATAGAACCTTCACTTCCACAGCTCTGACCCCCACCAAATGGTAACAGAAGGGATTCTCAGCAGAAGCACCAGCATGAAGATTTCTGGTCTCTGCTTCTCTGGCTTCAGGAGAGCATGTGCAGGTACAGTAGAGCTCCTTGAATGCATACCACTTCCGTCACTGTCCTCTGCTAGTCTAACAGTAGTCGGTAATTATGGTCGGGGGTGGGTGGGGTGGGCGGCACCAGGACTTGGGTTTTTTCTGTACTGTGTGACACAGGATGTAAGTTAGCAATCTGGAACTCTTAACTTACACTATTCTAGGAAGTACAGTATGGCCTGAGGCTCAATGTCAAGAAGACAAAGATTCTCACCACTGGACCAATTGGCAGCATCAGGATGGATGGCGAAGAGATTGAG